TAATTAAAGATAACGGACCACATCTCAAACCCTGGTCATTAGTTCGAATCCAGCCCAAACTGGTAATCATCACAATGCACACCATAGAAGTGATCATTTTCTAGTTTACTTGCATGTAACTGATTGCTTCTGCCTAATGGATAATGCCTGAGCCAAGAAATACAAAAGGCACTAAACTCCCATGCTTGCAGCAAAAGACTGGCTGAGATGAAGGACTCAAGTGGTCCAGGAATGAATTTCAAGCCTTGAAAACACCATCTGCCCCCTCTTCAATAAAAGGAGGAAATATCTTGTAGTGCATTTTTGTTGTACTATTGTTGTACTATTTGTTGTACTATATTCCACAACATACTAGTATGTTGTATGCTACTTGTCTTCCACTTCCTCAACAGGATAATGAGTGAGTAGAAAAATAATTCATTTCAGAATAAATTTTTTTCAATATAGAAAAGCCAAAGAGTCTTCAGTCAACCCAAACACTTAAAACTGCTCAGATCAGCTCCTCAAAGCAATGTACTAAGTATAGAATTAACTGCATATTCATTTATCTTCTGTCTACCTTATAGTCCCTCCTGCTGGAAAAACACCCTGTACTGCTGCTGTACCCACACGGTGGTGAAGATACTCAGGCAACAGCCTCAGTAATATTTTGAGCCAATATAAGCCAAACTAACGCCAAAAAAAGCAGCTTTCCAGCCACCGGCTCCCTCTTCCCTCCCATTCCCCCCCCAACCTTTTTTCTTTTGCTGTTTAAGTTTTACATGAGGAAATCTCTCCCAATTCACAAGTGAATTAGAAAATTAAAAAGAAGGTAGCACATTGAGAAGGAAGTTGTCATCCAACTGCAGAAATGTGCAGGACTGCTGCTTTTGGCAACAGTACCTGGTTTAAACTGCTTGGGAAACTACAGACTCAACACAAGGTAGGCTGGTGTTTCTTTATGTCAAGACTTGAGAAATATCTGGGCAACAGGAATAAGGCTTATCTATATGCAGACCTAGCCATGAGCATGCCTCACTGATTTGAAGTGAGTGAATATTACTTCCATGCTGTCCAAGATAACAGCCATCCCCTCAGATACAACAAAAAACCCAGTGTCATTTTGCTGAAAAGAGAACATAATTGTTATTACGTTTGCAGATATGTCCGTATTCCTAGTTTGAGCAATCAAGAGTCAAATCCTGAGTATCAAGAGTTCAAAATAAAGCAAAGAGAAAAGCTTCAGAAAATAGCCATAAGTGCCCACTGGTCCTGCTTTGAAGTGACATCAAACTCGAGGCAGCCCTTTGTGAAAGATGAAGCTTCCTTCTCATAGGTGCTGTTGTTACAAACTTCACTGAATGTTTGAGGCGCCTAAAAATCTCTTTTATGTATCATACTTACAGGCTGTAATCTCTTTTGCTAGTGTTTGCTAACTCAGATTCAATTCCACCGTACTGTAATCGAAATAACAACAGGCAGTACTACACAAAATCCAAGTAAACAGACTGAAATCAGATGATGAATCTTAAAATTGGAAGCAAACATTCAGAAACCAGGACACTAACCTTCTGTTACTTCTCAGGATCCTAATGACATATTAAGCAAATTAACCGCTATAAGCTCTCAAAGAAAAAAAATCCTAAAACCAAGGAGAAAGGCAGGTAAGCAACCATGGCCAAGGATTCTTTCTAGCTAAGGATCCTCCTCTGCACAATGATCTTGCACAGACAGCAAGCTCTTCTATCTGTCAGAAAGGTCTATTTGTCCTAGGAAGTAAGCTCATAAACCCATTCAAGCTGGCATTTCCTATATAAATATTTCAGAAGCAAATCCATGCTCTCCTTTTCAAACCCTCACTATTCAGAGCACAGGGATCTCTGTGCTGTAAGCATCTTGCCTTAAAATGGTGATTGCACCTCTGCACCTTCTGTTCATCTGCCAACAGCTTCTACAAGTTCTTCCTGCAACTTCACATTTCTATCTAAACCATATTAACAGGAACAAGAGCATACAGATGAGCATTAATCCTTACTGACCACAACATCACAGGGAACAACAAGCAGAGCTGGAAGATCTGGATGCTGATCCAGCTAAGTCTAAGGCAGAATACACAGGGCAAACTGTGGAGGTACTGCTCTGGTCAGTAATGCAGGAACTTATGACACCCAGTTACTCACACATTTCACTGTTGTGTTAATGTTAAGTTGCAGGTGCTTCATTTTAACAGTTACCTATATCCTGGCCCTGGGGCTGAGCTGAAATAATTCTCTATAAAAGCTTCAGTCTTGGAGTTTATTTACAGAAGAATATGGCAATTTTCTTGTAAATGAGGAACACATTCAAGTCATCTTTAGTTACTCTGTTTTATCAGAGTCAGAGGATACAGCTGGCATCCTCTCCTGCCTCAAATGTACCTGCTTTCCAACTATAATGTTTCATCCAGGCTTACCAGAAATTGTAACAGTGGTGTGAATGGACATAAGGTACCAGCTTAGATGAGAAACACAGTTAGGCTCAAGTACACCATTACTCCCCTGACAGGCAGAGACCAACTGTGGAATTTTGACTAGCACAACTATTTAAAAAATTAATTATTTTAAAATAAGAACTACTATGAAATCTTCATCAGGGACTGTAGTGACAGGACAAGGGGTGATGGGTTCAAACTGCAACAGGGGAAGTTCAGGTTAGATATAAGGAAGAAGTTCTTTACTATGAGGGTGCTGAGGTGCTGGAACAGGTTGCCCAAAGAAGTGGTGAATGCTCCATCCCTGGCAGTGTTCAAGGCCAGGTTGGACAAAGCCTCGGGTGACATGGTCTAGTGTGAGGTGTCCCTGCCCATGGCAGGAAGGTTGGAACTGGATGATCTTAAGGTCCTTTCCAACCCAAACCATTCTATGGTTCTGTGACTTATTAAAAATACTAATAGATACTGTATATTTCTAAATTATTCTATACTCTAAATTGCTTGAAGTCATAAATTAGCCGAATCCTGAAAAATATGCTCCCCTATACACCACAACTGCAACATGCTCTCTCCTCATAGAGATAAAATACAATCACAGAAAAAAACCCTAAAAACCTAAGATAAATTGGAGAAAGCTCCAGTTATTTGCTTTGAATGAAAGAACAAGGATCAAACCCAAACAACATTAGCTGGCTTAAACAAAAAAGAAAAGAGGCTGATGGAAGGAAATTTCATACATGCTCAGAGTAGCTACCAAAACCCCCAGTTAAAGATATTACAGGATTGTGTACTGCTGTTCTACAAATGTAAACTGCCCTTGAACAATTCCTGCTCTGAATTCTATTTTCTTTAACTGACCCTCTGAGAAACGGTCACAAGCACTCTCTGTTGCTGGCTAATACGGAGCTTACACAGCCCATAAAGAACTTTTAATGACATTTCTGTTTCATATTGAAGCAAGAATTGAATTCATGCACATATTAAGCAATTTTCATAGTCTAGGATAAGCATCAAATTCTTTCAGCTGAGACATAAAACCACCAAAGAACTGACCATTCATGGCACGAGAGAGTCACAATACGAGGTGTTAACTCCAACGTCCTGGACCAACTCCAGCCTGTCTAATTGCAGTCAGCCTTTAACTTCTCTTTGCAATTGCACACTGATACAATATTCCTGCCCACTCCTTGGACTGCCCTAGCATGGTATTCCTGGTACGTGTTCCTCCACAGTTACAGAGTTCTGTTCTGTATGTTGCCGTGTCTGTGGCCATAAACCTTTTGCCTAAGATCCTCTAGGTTGAATGACTAATATAAATGTTTTTTCCAAGTGTATATTAAAAAAGAAAGAATAAAAAGGAGCCTGCTTGTTGCTCAGTGTAAGATTGGGTTCCCCAGAAATGGACAGAGAGAACCCAGGAGAAGATGGTTTTGCATATCCTTTAAAGACTGAGTAACCCCAAACCTACTTTCTTCCTTTTAGTAGGTGTTTCAAGGTGCTTGTTCTGCTAATATCATCTAAAGGTATTAAGATGTTCTAATCTCCTTCTTGTAGAGAACATGTTGTGCAGCTTAATTTCTTCCTTAATTACTGCCAAGTGCCACATTTTCTCTCTAGGCAATTATAACAATAGATTATTAATGCCTTTGGCTGGGCCATGGAAAATCATCTTCTGAAAGCCAGCAATGAGCTTCTAACTCTTTGTCAGCAACTGTTCATACTATTGGGATGAAGAGTTTAAAGTAAACCACATTCTACTCCTGAGCGCTCCTACCCAGCTTGCAGAGAAACTCTCTCTACACCATCATAAAGCCAAACAGTTAACAAGTTTGGTTTTATTAGTAAAACAAAACTATGTTTTATATTTTGACACAGAGAAAATTAACTGATTATGAGTGAAAATCATCTGCAGGCTTTTATATAGTAAAAAATCAGAACCAGCTGCTTGGTGCAGAAGGTTAATTAATACTCCAGTGTTTCTTCTTAACAGAGGTGGGTTCAAACAGTGAAACTTCTTTGTCTTTAAAGAAAAAACAAAGTTCCCCAGAAAAACTTTGATCATCAGTGTCTCTATAAGAGAAATAATGGAGGAATAACATGGAGAAAATTGTAGGCACAGGAAGAACTAGCTATTTCATCAGGATTACAGGAAAGAGCCTTGCAGATCGTTTAAGATCTTCACTATTTCCACTGCAGTTAAATCATTTTTAAGATAACTAAGCTCAGACTAAATTCAATAGAAATAAAGAAGAGTGTGTGTGTGGATGCATGCATGAAAAAGAAATAAATAAACAAGCAAGCAATTTAGTGTGTGCAATAGCAAAAGGGAAGAGTTCGCATTTCACCATCAGGATATAAAATGTTATAGTTATTTTGCCAGTTGTCATAAAATATATGAGCTTCATCTGTGCAAGTTACCAACACAACACATCCACAAACACACATCCACAGAATTATTACCAAGTTTCATAGCACATACCTTTTATACAAGGAAGAAAAAACCAACAAGCCCACAATTTGTTTTATGAGTAAATCAAACGAATTTGCTTACCACAGCTGGGGGATCATTCCAATCCTCATAAGAAATAGCAGCATATGGGTAAATTCTGTCATTGATAATCTGAAGAGTAGCAAGAGCGATTGCTTTCATCGATCGAAAATATGCTTCCCAGAACCACCTTGCCTGTAAAGAGAATAAAGTTCACTGTCACACTGCACAGATCCAGGACTTAATAATCAACTTTGGCTTGCCATGCACGATACATTCCATGCAGTCAACATACCAGGTGGAGATTAAATTAGGAGGCATGTTTATTGTAGGTAGGATATTTCCATAGAGCCTGAAGGCTTCAAACTCAACTCCACTCCCCAAAAACCAGGACTTACAGCCAATAAAAGGAAGCAGCAACATTGCTTTGCAAGTGATTAAACAGAATGAGAGTACTTGAAGGAATCTATTACTTTCACGTATCTGTCGTATGTTTTCCTCTTGAAAAATGTCAAAAGCAATTTGACCAGAGAACAGAAGAAATTGCTGTTATACTCTGTTTTCCCAAGGCAAAGGAATCCATAGTGTAGCTAAACAACCAAGTAAAAGCTGCAGCCTAAAAGGTCTTGAAAGTCCTACAAGGAACTTAGAAGTCACTTTTTAACATCAGTATTTGAGACAGCTGATCAGGTAGGGAATGTCAGTACTCATGAACCAAACTAACACCTTCCCAAGTCTTCCAGAAAACAAACATTATACAAGTAAATGTTAAGATTTGTACATAAAAGCACATGTGCACGCCAATTTGTTACAACTGTTCATCTAATTTACAGCATAGTGTAAAACCACCGAAATGAAAGGAGATTTTCTTACAGAGATACACTGAATTGCACAGATGAATCATTTTCCACCTAAGTCCCTGTCATGCAAGTTTTAATCTTATCCCAGTTCCTGTGTAAGAAATGCTGGAAGAAAAGCAGGGTTTTGGCAATGAAAATGCTGACTTATCTGATTCTGTTACAGACATAAACATACTTTCTAAATGCCTAGAATCATCCAATGATCCTGTAGGACCCCATCCAACCCAGAAGGAAACACGCTTTGCCAAGTGAATGTAGTTCAAGAGATATGAATTTATTTCAACATAGTTTTCCTTGAGGAAACTCCAGCACCTTGAAGCATCCAGCAGGTAATGTAACTTCCAATCTCCTCATAGTTCAACATCAGCTGTGAGAGTGTGTGTTTGCATCTAGGTAGTAGGGCAATTAAAATAAAAGGCTTTTTTTCATTCACTGGAAGCTTAAGAAGCTTTCAGATCCAGAATATAACAACTGAAGACAACATACAAATTTGGGCAAGTGCTATATTAATCTTGCCACAGATTCCTTAAACAGCAAAAAGACTTTAATTATATACTACGATAATATTAAATCATATTATTTAGCATATTAAGTTACTGAAGGAATACCATGCTTTTGGAGGAATACCAGACTTTGGTACTATGAACCAAAAATAACTCTCATTTAGCTGTTGTTAACAAGTTACCAGTGTGTCTCACTTCTTAAATAGAAGACAAAGAGTGATTCCTATATGTAGATCTTGTGCTAAGGCATTCCCAGGCTAAAAACCAGGGTACAGGAAAGATTACAAATAGGGAAAATACAAATTCACAAGCAAATCTGCACATATTCACGCATGTTCTACCTTGTACTTTACTCTGTGTGTAAGCTACAGGATTCAGAACTAAAGACCTGTTGCTGAAATACTGGCTCTAAAACTCTGCTTTATGGGTAGTTTGTAGAACAGGTTCTTCAGAAGACTTCTGTAAATATTTAAGATGAAAAAAACCCCACGTTACAATTAATAAAGGCAAGTAGGAAAGAGATAAATGCTCTCTGGAGCACTATTTTTATTGTGAGAAAACATGAACAACCAAAAGCCTTATCACTTCAGAGTATTTTATTAAGGAGACTGATAAGTCTGATTCAAAATGACACTTCTCTGGAGCTTGTCATTCAGAGACAATGCAAAGCCATTTCACTCTAGAACAGAATCACTCCCCTCTCCTTATTTTTCTCCCTGGTAAGACTTAACAAACTGGACAACAGGCCAACTACCAAGAACAGTGAACAAAATGAATATTATAGATATCCAAAATGAATATTATGTATGTCCACCTGTAAAAGCAGAAGAATGATATAAGCAGGTAAGAATAAATGTCTGCCTTCCTAAAATACCAAAAAGACATTAAATCAAGCAAACACCACATGCTAAGCAAAGACATAAGTACTCCTTTCCCCATTTGTAAGAAAAACTGTATTATCCAGAACTCATGAGTTCTGATATAAAAACAAAACCAGAAGCAGATGAAGAATTCAAATTGACCAGAACAATAAACCTCTCAATTCAAGTACTCTAAATAAACAAGGGTAAGAACACGGATTTCAAATTTCATTTTCACTTTAGACAACAATTTAGAATCACTGCTATAATCAGCACTAAGTAGGAATTATTTTACGTAGCCTTTTAACATGTAATTTTATATAGCAATTAAGTAGCTATTAATTGTGTGAAATACACACAGGACTCTGTATTTCACTGTTATTAAATGACAGCATTCCTATGCTGTTCTAACTCAGATTGTTTATTTATACTGTAGTATCTATGATTATCTAGCTTCTTAACAACCAAAGCTGGTTTTCCTCCTTCAGCAAAACCAGGATGGATCTGCTCTAGCTTCTCTTTGCCAAAAGAACACTTGCAATGTGAGGCAAGATTACACCTTTATACCAGAAGCAAAACTGCAGAAGAGGGCAGAGGGAATTTACTTTTTATAGACTAATATTTATGTAATTAATTTTTTGTAAAGAGCCAGAAAATGTTCCCACAGTTGGCTTTAAGTTTTTTTGAGTTGTGTTTCTTTAAGGCAGAACTCAAAACCTTCCAAGGGGATTCAAAGTCTCCAAACAGATGTTTCAGGGTCTCGTTACTTCCTCCCCACCTTGTTTGCTTTTATAAAGCAGAACTGATTAACATGGCTTGCCAGTGTCGGCTGCTCAGCATGTGAAGTTACTAAACATGTTGGGAAAGTTTTCTATTGGGAAGATATAAGTCGATTCCATTTGAAATGTAACTTCTGCTCTAGCTGGTGTGGTTGAAAAGCTTATGTTGGAATGTAACAGATACCTAGAGGAGATAAAAATCCCATGAACTCGTTTGGGATATAGGAGAAACAACAACGAGAGATCTGTTCCTGACTTTCTTGGCATTCTTACATACTGCTTCTGATCTGTCCATTTCTCTTTTCCTTATCTATGAAGTCAGAAAACTAATGGTTATATATTTGAGAGTAGCTTTAATATACTGGGTAATGTTTTTAAAGTATGGCAATTTTACCATACTAATCAGACCTACCTGAAAGCCTTTCAGGATCTTGAAATAAATGATCCATAATTACAGATCTTGTCTTACATACAGCACTGGTTATACACAGCTACAAGTAGTACCTCAGAGCAGCCTTCCAGTATATGAAGGGGGCCTACAAGGATGCTGAAGAGGGACTCTTCATCAAGGAGTGTAATGACAGGACAAGTGGTGATGGGTTCAAACTGAAACAGGGGAAGTTCAGGTTAGATAGAAGGAAGAAGTTCTTTACTGTGAGGGTGCTGAGGCACTGGAACAGGTTGCCCAGAGAAGTGGTAAATGCCCCATCCCTGGCAGTGTTCAAGGCCAGGCTGAACAGAGCCTTGGGTGACATGGTCTAGTGTGAGATGTCCCTGCCCATGGCAGGGGGTTGGAACTAGATGATCTTAAGGTCCTTTCCAACAAAAACCATTCTATGATGCTATGATGTGGTCAGGCTGCCATTCCTTTCAACTTGAACTGAAATTAACTTCTAATACTCCAATAGTCTCCTTGATGAGGTTTCAGAATTTTCTCAGGAAACAGACTACATGGACCACAGACTTGCAGAGAATGCTAACATTTTTATACACCTAAATATTGCTTAGCTCATGGGCAATCTAAATTGTACACAGAGATCAAAAGGATACTTTCTACAACTGCTAAAACAACACAGACGAATGTATGTTAACCTATGGGACCTTGCTCTTGGTGTATGGCTTACCAGGAATTACAAACAGGTATGTAAGAAACACAGCTTCTCTT